GGGGCGGACTTGAGAAAACATTCCCCATCTCTTTATGTAGTTCTTCAATCATGTTTTGACTTTATATAGATAGGAAGACAGGTCTAAACTAGTCAATTTCACAAGTCACTAGAGGACAAGATTGGCATGAACTCCTTTTCTTTTACTTTGGAATTTCAACCATGTGGGAAAGCATGAATTCCTTTTCTTTTGATTTGGAATTTCGCCTATGTGGGAAAGCATGATATCAAGCATGGATTCCTTTTCTTTTAATTTGGAATTTCTACCATGTGGGAAATCACTAGATTGGCCTAAGAATTTTCTGCACAAGTTTTTGGATTCCCAACTTTTTGTATTTGATATGTATAAAAAGAATTTGTTAAATACATAAAAAGTTTATTTTTACATGAAATATCATTAAAAATTAATATTAAAAATAGATATACAAACATTACTTAAATATTATCCATCTCAAATTTTTAGACGCAAATGTACGTGTTTGCAGTCATAAGTCTAAGATTGATAATGCAGAGCAATAAAACTTGATAATTAAGAGAATAAAGAACAATAAAACTTGATTGAAGGATATAATAAATTCAACAACGTCAATGAGTTCTATTGTTTTTTTTTTGTTAAATTTATTATTATTAAGGAGGGGAGGGTTCAAAACTATTACAATAATTTAGGGGACATGAGAAGTTTCGAACCCGAGAGGCATGAGTGGAAACCCAACACCCTATTCACTAAGATATTGGACCACATGCAAGTAGTTTTCTTTCTAAAATCAACATCAACCTACGAATTGAGTATTAGAATAATCTAGCTCAATAATAAATTTTTGAACGTTACCTCAAATTACAATGTTCAAGACTTCAAGACCACGTGATAGTTGTTTAAACATTCAATAAAAATGAAAAGATTGGGAAGTTGAAAGAAAAAATGATTGCAAAGAGATATAGGTTTTTTAACTTTATACGTTGAAGACGGAGACTACTCCGACTGCACCAACAACTCGATTATGACATCTTTTTCATGTTTCTCTATTTAAATGTTATATTCATGATGTATAAAAAAATTTGGGCTCCCCAGAATTGGGAGCCCTCCACCGTTTTACTCGGCTACCCTGAAGATGTGAGAACCCCTTTTTTTAGGTAGGTTTCTGGGAAGTTTTAAATTAGGAAGTGGGATCCTTCCCCACAGATTTGGATCCTCTCCGAGGCAGCTGGTCATATCCTCTTGATCGGTGCTTTTGGTCCGTTGGATTTTTATCCAACGGCTACAAACAAAAGGTCTTCTAAAAATTATAATAATTGTAGCCGTTAGATAAAAATCCAACGGACCACAAGCACCGATCAGAAGGATCCTGACCAGTTACCTCGGAGAAGATCCAAATCATTTTCCCACTGTCGTCAATCCGTCTCTCCCACTTACAGCCGGCCTTCTTTTTTTTTTTTTTTTTTCTACAAACATCATCATCATGACCCTTTTATCTTTTCAACAACATCATCATTGTATCCATACTTTTCTTTCCTCCATTTTTCCTTATCAACGTGTCCACTTTCTCATTTATATAATCTAAACACTTGGACCACATTCTTTGTCTTCTCACTCCCACTAACCAATAATTTTATTATTTTATTTTAACTCCCTACACCTCTTGTTCTCTCTGCTAATTCTTATCGAAAGAGGATTCTATACCCTCCTATTCTTATCCTCTTTCATCATCTTCTTTTACACATTACTTTTTATCTTATTATCTTTATAAAAAAAATTAATATAAAATATTAACGTGGTTTTAATCATGACTATTCAAATAGAAGGAGATATAATGATAGAGAGATTAGGATGATATCACTCTCTCCCTCTATTTACATTTCTCTCACTTCTCTCCTACCCTCAAAACTCTCTCCTTTCCTCTGCATGCACAGAGAGCTCCAAGAGCCCCAAAAAACAAGAAGGAGCTGTTGCTCCATTTGGTTAGTATTCATCCAGGAACATCCGTTAAAATTGGACCCGGCTTCTCTCTCCTCCCAGTTCCCATATACTCTCATCCCCTCCTATTTGAGCGGTCACGGTTAAATCACGTCAACATTTTATATCACTATTGCTTTTTGTCTTATTATCTCTATAAAAAAAATCAATATAAAATGTTGGCGTGGCTTAACCGTGACCGCACAAATAGGAAGGGATAACAGTGTATAGGAATTGGGAGGGCAGAGAAGCCAGGTCTGTTAAAATTAAGGTTTGATGTGTGGAGA